TGGAAAGCATTGATGCTGTACATTTTCAGGGCAGCAAAAGTAGCAATACATAATGAAATTCCACATAATATAGTGGTTATAGTCAGAAAAATGCCATTATTGAGCTGTTTGTTATTACTGTCTCAACATAATATCCATTGATCCATGAACACATTTGACACTATAAATGATGATTAACCCCTCTTTGACATGTTTTGATCAGATGAAAGGAAAGTATGTAATCCTTTTTTACTGTTGTTAGATAACATAAGAGTCATGTTTCTTAGTTCCCTTTTTTAAGGTACTTAATTTTTTCTATGCAGTCAGGCACTGAATCAGATGCAAGGTAAATACAATAAAGTGTGACTGGTAGCAGGGAGCGTAACATAGATATTATAGTAGTTTAGAACTGCTTCAGTTACTGTAAGTGCACAAAGCAACTAGGCGTGGTACATTAAATCGTTTTCTTCAAATATAATATATTTGATGTGTTCAGCATTAGTTGTGCAGTTTTAAAATGATTTTTTACAATAACAGTCTCTATCAGAGATGCTACACGTGGTCTTACTGCATAGCATATTGGTACAAGAGTAGCAAAGCACCAACATAAAACACAAAACCTGTTTTTAATCAGCTGTGTATGTTTGGATTTTTTGTGTCAGGGCTGATCCAGCCTCCAGATGGACCAGCTCAACCAGCGCATGCTGCAATATCATTTGTGGCTTGTTTGATATCAAATGCTGTCTATTCCTACTCTGCTAGTTTTGGCATATGCTGGTGGCAAGTGGACACTAAGAACACCAACAGCACTGATCTAAACAAACATGGGATGAGCTTCTCTCCATAACAGCCACAATCTCATTACAAGCACGCTTGGCCCATTTCACTTTTGTTGGTATTTTTATAACAGGTATCCAGCACTATGTCTATAGAGCCTATGATCATGTAGTTGCAGCAAAATCTGTCACATCTGAACTGATGGAGTTTTTTTCTCCACCACAGCTTCAGCACTGCCTACCAGTGTATCTACTACTCCCCAGAGCACACAGCCAAAGCTCAGGAGGTACTCAGCACCATGAGCCTCCTCCAGCCTCTCATCACAAGCTTAGCGGACCAACTCCTCCAGGCTGCCCAGGAGCAATCTTCAACTGGACTGACGGATACACTCAAGAACCTTTCTGACAAGGTGAGGCAGCTCCTAACTCACTTTAGAAGTTTTATTTATTGTCATTGTGACACGTACAACGAAATTATGTTTGGAACCGAGGACCCCGGGCCACTGCGTGCATACGCGCCGCCATCACGGGCAATGGGGGGGTTCATTGTCTTGCCCAAGGACACTTTGACATATGGACTACAGGCACTGAGATTCAAACAATCAACCTTCTGGTTGGGAGACGACTGCTCTACCCACTGCACCACTGTTGCCTCCCCCAGAATTATATTTATAATATATTGTAATTATAGTAATTTATTCCCCTTCCCTCAGATTTGTGCAATATACAATGCATCACTTTTATTCTTGGACACATCACCAAACACTGCCTCAGCCTAAAAAGCCTTTTGTTATAATCCTTAACTGTGTCAATAAGTTGATTTAAATCCACACTAATCCAAAGAGGAACTTAATTATTTGCTGGTGGGTTTTGCTTCTAAGCCTAGAAGCAATAGTTTACCTGATGGAGCTGAAAGCTGAGGACTATTCAGGTGGATATACTGGCTTAAGCTGACAGCGACACTAGATGTTTACCCTCTCAGGGGAGTTATACCATAGACTTCCAGCTCTCAGAATATCCCTCCCTTCAAATCCAGTGGTTGATTTGACACAGTTGCATACACATTAGGCAACTAGACAACCTCAGGAAAATCCATAACTCATCATAAAAATGCCAAACTAACAAAAGTGAATAGCAGCATGGAGGTTTATGGAGTTGAGGCGTTTTTATCAGTGTAATTAATGAATTACATCTGGTGCTGTCAGATTGCAATCTGTTGTGGGAGAGATTGTTTTTGCCACAGTGGAATAGAGCCCAATCAGTCTGCTTAATTGGTACATTCGCTCTGTCACCACTTCCTCTCATCCTTGATTAGACAAGCACATATTGGCCAAGTAAACCCCTGGCCTGGTCAGCACAAACAGAGCCGCAGTCTGATTAAATCCTCACACTGTGTTTTACACGTGTATGTGTGCGGCTGAGGGCATTGGAAGTGTGAAAGTGTGTGTTTAAAAGCTGATGTTGAAGTGCCATCTCTCTTCAAGCCCCAAAGTCTCCAATCATGAACAGCATCACATGATTGTTGTCAGTATTTCCTTCTGCACTTGTGGTGATCTGTCATGGATGGATGTTTTTTTTACAGACATACACACACAGGTTCATGTTATACACACCAGTAGGTACACAAGTCTACTCAGTTACATTTATAGAGACTGAAAACACACATTTGATTCAAAAGACTTAAAAGACTAGTTTGACAATTTGGAAAATGCACTTACTTGGTTTCTTGCCTAGAGTTAAATGAAAGGATCCATAGAACTTTCATGTTAGTCCTTTAAATATGAAGCTGCAGTAGCTTAGATTATGCCAAAGACTGGAAACAAGGGAGCAGCTTATTATCCAAATGTAAAAAAATCCACTTACTAACTTCTCTGAAGCTCATTAATTCACATGATATATCTTGTTTCTTTAATCCATAAAATGCTGAAGTGATAAAACAACCATTCACTGTTTTATGGGGGTTTTACTGTATGTGACTGGCTACTTCTTGGCTAGAAGCAGTTATAAGTCAACCATCAGCAAATTGGAAATCGTTGTTTTTATACCTTTGTTTTTGTATTCAATCAGTCCAGATCAGTAGTTATACTTTTGGCATCATCACACCGAGTGCTGGCACTCCAAAGGAGTGTGTACTCAGCTCCCTGCTGACATATGACTGCGCTGCATCATTGAGCTCCAACTGAATCATTAAGTTTGCTGATGACAACAACAGTGGCAGGCCTCCTCAGCAACAGTGATGAAACGCCTTACAGAGAAGAGGTGGACCCACTAGTAGTGTGGTGTAAGACCAACAACCTTTCCTTATACACAGGGAAAACAATGGCTTCAGAAAGATGCCTGCCAACTACAAATCTAAAAAAGACAGACATGCAAAAGACAAAACACTCCGTACAGCCATGGTCAGACAGATATCTGATATGTATCTTACAGACATGAAAAAAGGTGAATGCCTTTGTGAGTGCATCTCTGCAGTGAGTGTGAACTTTCTTCAATAAAGACAGTGAGTCACACCTTCAGAGAATCTTGGAAAGACGAGACACCTGAGAGAATCAGAAGGATGCAAAAACCTTTTTCATTAAGCACGTGCTGCCTCAGATTTTTTTATTCTTCTTGGTTCAGAACACCTGACTCCAGGCTTAATTCAGTATTTCGCTTCAGAGTGCTTCTTATTGCTGCATTCTGATTAGCGTTGTGCATGACAGATGTGTGGTTGCATCTCCATATAAATGATGATGATTCTGTTGATGAAGATAATAATTTCACTCTGATGATAATCACAGTGAAAAGGCAATTTCAGTGCATCTACCCTCCCTCCAGCTGTGTCCTAGGACAAGCTATATGTCTCTGCCATAACGGTTACCTGGGAAGAGCTGTGGGTTTTATCGTCTATGCATGATTATATTAAATTACACTGTGTAGTGTATTCAATAGTGTGTGTTCTCACAGCCAAGTACTGTTGGAATCTGACCATCTCTATCAATTCAGTCTCCATTCACCTTTCAGGTGAAGTTACACTGAGTAAAAAACTGTTTTTAATTCACCAAAACCCACTCATCCTTCAGAGTATAACCATTCAAAACCATTGGAGGTGGAGAGATTCCTACAGTTCTCTTCTTTTAGATCAGACATAGCTAATTTTTTTGCAGTCTTAGTCCACAGAGGCATTTTCTGACTTGCACTACTGCACAGTCAAGATCACATCCGCAGAACGCTCATACTGAAGAAAGACTAGCGACAAAATTTCTACCAAGGGATTTAACGCATTGAAGATCTCTAATAAAATGGGTTGGTGTGGAAGAGCTGCACTGAGGAGTAGTTTCTGCACATGGAGAAGTGAAGCTGCTTTGGTTTAGCCTTGGAAAAACAATGAAGCTACAGTGCTTTTCTCCTTTACCCAAAGGAGTGCATCTCTGATATTTCACTTTGAACTCAATCTTTTACATGGATCCTGGAATACAATACATCTTTGAAATGTTTTCTGTGCTTCCATATAGATCCTAATCTTTGGGTACACAAGCTTGGCTGGCACTGGGTTAATATTTAGGAATGTAATTGAACAATGATTTACTTGACTTCTTATGTAATCGGTTAAGTTTTATCAGCAACAAAACAAAAACAAAAAGCATGAATACCATTTATACTAAAATAAGTTCACCAACATAAAAGGTTACTTTGCTGAACAAAAGTTACTGACATAGGCAAAGACAGGAGTTCTGTGACCATGTGCAATTATGACACAGATTGATTTTAATACAGTGTGTGTCTTTCTTTACTCACCTCAGGAAAGATCATGAATAATGCATGGTCTCGTAGATGGCAAATTAACATTGAGGTCAGATAAGCACAGTTCAAATTGACTATGAATTTAAGATTTGAATTCCCAGTTTGGGTTACTGAATCCACCATGGCTCCTTTTTAGTCATTTGGACATTTTAATCTTGGAAATCTTTATGTAACATTCTGTTCATCACAAAATAGGATTCCATTAGAAATGTTTGCTCTCAGGCAATTATGTGTCATCTTATCCAGAGATTTTAGTGCCCACATCACTGACTTAGCAGGCATTCAGACTGATCCAGTAAAAATGCAACTCCCTGCTGTGCTTTAATGCACAGGGCTGCGCTGTCGGGGGTGAGGAGTCGCAGGGGGAGTGTTGTAGGTGTGTACGATACAGCCACATTGTGACACATTGACATGAGTGGATCCATTCATGTTTCCAGGCTGTGAGTTTCCATTGCATTTGGGTTAGTCATGCTGCTAACATAGCCTACTCTACCTTAGCACCAGTTCTACCAGCAGTGTGTCAGCACTGAAAGATAAAAACTGTTTAACATCCAGTACTAACGAACACGCATGACGTGTCGTTATGGTGCCTTAACTGTGGCCCAATAGTGAATAGCAGTGAATGCTCATGCTAACAAGGTAAACAAGAGTCTTCTTACTGTGGGCGTCCACATCCCCATTTGTCCCCCGTATGATTGGTCAATACAATGCCTTTACCAGTGCAGTAAAAATGAAATCAGATCCAACTTTGCCGCCACATGGGGTTGCCTCATTTTGCTAGTCCCTGTGGTGCTGGTGCCAGCTGTGTTCTTTGACACCTTTGAAACTCAGTCTGAATAGAGCCTTACAGGACTGGAACTCACATCAGAATACCAAGCACTATGTCGGGCGAACGCCAGGCACCTGACTAATACCATCCCTACAGTGAAGCATGATGCTGACAACATGATGCTATGGGGTTGCGTCTCTGCGCTGGGGACAGGGAGACTGGACAGGATTAAGGGAAGGATGAATTTAGTCAAATACAGAGGTCTGTGAAAGAAACTGCTCTAGAATGCATGTGACCTACAGCTTACAGCCAAGACAGTGCTGGAGTGGCATTGTGACAAGTCTCTGACTGTCCTCAAGTGGCTCAGTCAAAGTCCAGACTTAAACCCCATAGAACATCTGTGGAGAGACATGATGATGGTAGTTTATAGAGGGTTCCCATCCAGTGTGACAGAACATGAGAGGCTCTGCTCAATGAAATGGGATGAGGTTCCCAAATCCAGGTGTGCAACACTCATAAATACTTAACCCAAAATTACTTAAAGCTGTAATTGCTACCAAAGTGGCTTCTACAAAGTACCGAATTAAAAGTTTGAATACTTTTGTTAATGAAAAATTTCATCTTTTGATTTTTAATGCATTTGCAAAAACATTTTGGAAACACTTTTACTTTGTCATTATGTGTTACTGAATGTAGAGTAGTGGGCAAAATGGCAGTCTACAACACAAAGCATGCAAAATATGAAGGTGTTCAAATTCCTTCTGAAACCACTTTGTGTATATAATGACATTTCAGGTTTCTTCTCATGGAGGGCTTGTTTTATGTGTTTTGTTGGACTGTATTTTGCTGTGGTAATAGAATTGCTTATTGCAGTGCTAACTCAATTACTCTTGAGAGCCTTATCATTTTTTACACATTGACAGCAGCGAGCACCAGGGCCCTTGGTACCAGGATCATCATCAACTTACAGTAGCTGGTGAATCTGAGATCAAAGGAGGTGTGCTCCTCAGAGAAGCAGGCTGGAGGAGGAGTAATTGAATTGTTTGTTGTTTGTTGCTGTTGTTGTTGCTCACTGGCTGTGCTGCAGTAATGGAGTGCAGCTACTTTATATTGAAGGAGCGTGTTTGTTTTCACTTCCTCCATTTAATAGGAACCTGTATTTTCTTCCACCCACACACAATACCAATGTGACAGCCCCTTTCTATCTCTCTCACTTTCTCTGTCTCCCCTTGCTTTTATATTGTTTAAAATTTCATTTGTTGCGCTATCCCACAATGATTTTAAGGAGCTGTCTCTTTTTCTTTGCTACAGACAGAACAGTTTGTTCATACACTTAAGGATGAATTGGTCAAGAGTGCACTACTGGCTCTGCACGCAGCACGGCCTGGGTATATTACCAAGAACCAGAAGCAAACCCCGGTACAGGGTGGCCAAGATGAAGGCCACATCCACCAGGGTAGTGACAAGAATCAGACCCTGGTGCAGGGACTTTCAGGCCACAGTCCAGCCACGTCAGTCACTGAGAGCATAGTGGTGTGTAATAATGTGGAAGCAACACAAACCACAACCAGAGGAGAAAGTGTGCCTTTGAAGCACCAAGACTCCATACCGCACCATAAAGAGTATGACGAGGAGGAATGGGTGAGTCTAAGCTGAAATGAAACCAGAACTTCTGAGTTGTGTTCCAGAAGAAAGAAAACCTTATTCAAAATCCCACTGAGATTTATATTCTAGCTAATAACTAAAAACCCAGCCCTGGCACATAGCTTTCAAAAGTATGTTGTGAGTTTACTACGTTAGCTTACACTATAATGATATATTTCTCTAAAACAATGTATTACTGACATTAATGTAACATTTTTCTTTAAATATTTCCACCATATCAAACTTCCTGCAGGAGATTTGGTGGTATCCTCATTGCATCTAAGCCATGCTGATTCTTTTCACTGAAGTGTGCCACACTTCTGCCACACTGACAGCAGGAGTCTACCAGGATTTCTGCACACCAGTGTTCAGTTATCTGTCATATCATTTCTCACCAGTGTAATACATTCAAACCATATTTTTGAAGCAACAGTAAAGCGAAATACACACCACCACTTGTAATTACACTTACATGTACACACGTTGTTGGATTGTCATGTTTGTACATACAGAGACATGAACACATCTACAGTATTTGTGAGAGAACAGCTGGTGCTCATGAAAAGAAAGAAAGATACAATCAATGGAAACATTTTAAAGTCTCAGAAAAACCCCATAGTCATTTCCTTTTGACCTTTAGGACATGAAGCCATTGTAGACTCTAAAAGTAAAACACCATTTGCTTTGTTTCTGCTTCCAAGGGTTTGCAGTTTCAGGTTTTGTTACACATTTTTATTTCAATCTCAGTATGGCAAACAGAAAAAGGGAAAGTGTGTGTGAGCGAGAGAGATGTTACCAGTGAGGCTGATCTGACTGCTGATTATCTATCCAACTCCTTTAGGACAGGGTCTGGGCCAGCGTGGCCAAGTGTCTCAACTGTGTAATCGCCATGGTGGATAAACTCCAGGAAGAAGACAGCAGAAAACAGGAGCCAGTCCCTGAGCAGCACCTCGCTGATGTCATCACTTCACACAACCCTGGTAAATCATTATTTTTCTGAAATTATTATTAGTTTTTCAAAGTAGTAATGTTTCTGCCACAAATGGGTGTAACTTGGCACACTGGCAACTGACCATCAGTGAAAAACCTTTTGTTCTATAGAGTATCACAGGGATGATGTTTTTTTTGTAAGCCAGCCCAGTTAGTTAGCGTGACCTGATCAAACTAGTGATCATTGCAAGGTTAGTTAGAGTAGTTTGCAAGTGTGTGAGTTTAGAAATAAAGAGGCTCTTAAGGTGGGCTGGTGAGTAGATGAGTGTCCATGTTTGGGGTGATGACACTTTTTTTACTTTTATTTATCATAAACCGGTAAATCAGCTCCTTAAATTCTCATTGTTTAAATTTAATTTCAGTATAAACATTATTGTTTTGTTGAGTCATAACTCAAAACCCAAAGTACTTATAACGAGGCAAATATACTTAATATATACTTACCATTTAAATTATTAAATGGTTCTACAGCCGGTCGCTGTAGAACCAGCGACCGGTTGGTTCTACAGTAGATAGACGCTGTTCCTGTAATCCAAACTCCTTTCTGGACCTCACATATAAAATATGCAGTCCCACAACAGCACCAGCAGGGGGCACAGCATGTTTGGTCCCAAAATTGTTAAACGTGTTAAAATAAAACTCTTAAATGAAATGCTTTGTAATTTGCATAAATCCTGTTGTGTGTAAAAGGCTTGGATAGTGATGATTTAGACATCAAATGTTTCATCTCTGTTCTCTATAAAAGCGCAAAACTGCGAGCACTTTAGAATACAATGAGTAAATACAGTTTATGTTTATTGAAAATGAATCTTTTAGAGTTTTTAGGGGTTGTTTTTTTCTCTTCAGTTAAACATGTATTGTGATGTGTCATGAGTGATTAATTCTATATTGTATCTTGATCACTCCTGTTCCCATCACAAAAGAGTAACTAATTTATTCTGCCAAAAAATACAGGCTTTTACTAGACTAAATAATATACATTCTCGCTGTGAGGGAAATAACATTGAACAGTTAGTGTTTTTTAGTGTATCTGCAGCCTCAGTTGAAATAAGTGACACAAGACAGCAGTCTAACCTAGAGGCACTTTGTTGTTTAAGCATTAGCAAAGAGAAACTTAAATTGTTGGCAGAGAAGTGGATGAAAGCAGTATTTGATATGCAGAGTCATTCACTGTTAACCACAAGCTGTCCAGTCTGCCCTTACATCCAGTGAAATCCTGCCTCAAGCTTGTGGCCAGACAAGTGCTCAGCCTGTTACAGCTGCCAGTTGGCACACAGAGTCATGGCATTAGTCTGACCAGGCAACAAGGAGAGCCTCTGGGTGTGTGTGTTTGTGTGTGTCAAAGAAAAATGCACTTCCAGGGGTCTTTGCAAGTGTTGGTGTGTTTTGTTTCATTGTGTGCATTTGTGTGCATGTGTCTGTCTGTTCAAGTGAGCTGGCAGGTACGAACAAGGCCATCCACATGGTATTCAGTCTGAAAGATAAGCTCAGCCCCCCGAGCACCTTTATTAAGATGCTGAACAGGCTCAGAGCAAGTGGTCATCTGCTTGTCTAAATACAAACATGGACTGAATAATGAGAGTGGCTTTGTCTGCTAGTGGAGACCAGTGAAGCTCAGGCAGGCTGTGGGGGTTTGGATGTTTGGGCAGGTGGGCTGATGAAGAGATGACAGCTGGAGTTGTGTTTCCTCTTTCTCTGTGCAGAAGCGGTATTTGCAGAATAAGATAAGACATGATTTTTCTGACAGGGCAAGGGCAAGCCTGATGTGCTATATGTTCTTGGATATGACATTCAACTCTGTGTGTCTGTGTGTCTTCCCCCAAAGAGCGTTTCAATATGTTGAAGCTCAACAGAATTCATGATGGGGAGAACTTAATTTGGACATTTCCTTACCAACACTGCCCCCTGTTGGGTAGCAAGGGAATTATCAGAAATGTGTTCTGGGTAGAGGAAATGCATATCGGACACCACGAAATCACTCAAAGAAGTCAATGTGTTTACTGAATATGTTGTTTGAGGGTGCTGTTGATATTCAATATCATCTCATAATGGATGCATGTGTGATTATCAGCCAGGGGCAGAAGATCCCCTTGCAGCACCTTCAGATCCTCTAGGGCAGGGGTGGGCAATTCCAGTCCTCGAGGGCCCTGTCCTGCTTGTTTTCCAACTATCCCTGCCTAACCTGCTGCTAATTATCTGGCTCAGGTGTGTTCAGCCAGTCAGAAGCTGGAAGATACCATATAAATGGGTTACTTTATCTTTCCTCACTCCACTTTCATATAAGATGGTATCGTCCAGCTTCTGACTGGCTGAACACACCTGAGCCAGATAATTAGCAGCAGGTTAGGCAGGGATAGTTGGAAAACAAGCAGGACAGCGGCCCTCGAGGACTGGAATTGGCCACCCCTGCTCTAGGGGGTACTTATGCTGTTATATATCCACATACAGTGGCAGGTGTAAGCCCCTTGGCGTGACCTGGTTTATCTGTGTTGATTGCTCATAAAATGTGACCTGATATTCATCTTAGTCATACATACAAGCACGATGTGCCTAAGATAAGGCCTGGGCTGACTGGGCCACTCCTCAGTGCGGATTGTTTTTGTTTAAAGCTTCTCCTTCAGTTTATTAAACCCCTGCAGCCATTTGAAGGCAGCAAGACTCAAATGTTGGTGATTCTTCAGCTCCTGATTTAAGAAGTGCCTTTCCAGAGTGCAGTGCCATTACGCATGGCCTTCCGATGTGTTTATCTTAATTAAATCATGTGTAAATGACACACCTCTACACATGCTGGACTGTCAATATTCTGCTTCTTAAAGCAGGAGATGTCAGATTACGAGGGCTGTAATAATCATTGCCTTCTTTTCAGATTTCTTTAACAAACATGACCATTGATGCTTTATGCCATCATGTTGCATCAATTATGATATGATGACCATTTGTAGTGTAGAATTATGACTGAAATGGTGTCAGACTGATGGAATCATCAGTGTCAATGAGCAATTTTTTTATCATCATGCTAATTTACAGTTTAAAAAACCCACATCATCTGCTTTAAGCTTCAGATTTGTGGTGACCCAGACAACAATATGTGAGCGTAGTGTTGTCATACTTCACTGATTTGCACAGCTGTCTCAGTGCTATGACATCAGTGATGTGACTGGTTGAGATTATATGTATTTACATATATACTGACTTATTATTCTCACCACACCCTCCAACATGTATTTACACTGCACCCAATCCTTTACACTTTATTTGTACACTGCTCTGCTGAAATGAATCCAAACAGTAGATGTGTTTGGAGACCAGTGTTTTCACTGGTAACATTCAAACGTGGCGGCCCGCCACGGCAAAAAATCATTCCAGCCAATCAATCATTTAATCAAGTGCATCAGTGACTTGCCTGAGAAGCCTGTAAAACAACAGGTCGAGTCACATACACAGGTACAGTTAAGGCCAATTCAGACAGAGCGAGTTTTTAGATGCATTTTTAATCACCTGCTTTTGCTTCAGGTCTGTTTTTTGGTGGCGCATTGAGTGCAGCGCAATCTCCACACACTGCTGTTTAAGTGACCCAAGTCCCAAGTTATTTTCTGTTGCAAATTTTTTTGCAGGTGTCTGTTATGATTATGTGCATAAGGCCTACATGAAAACTATTATTATCCACCACATTTCTGCTGTCAGTCGGCCTGGTGAAGACCCTTTGTCCGTCCACTGTCCGTGCAGCTCATCAAGAGCTGATGCCTGACAGCCGCTTTAACACTAAGCATCAAATTTTAGATCTCGCTTTCAGTCAGGTTGTGGTTACATTATTGAGTGAAGCACCGACCAGCAAACTGTTGAGGACTTTGCAACAGCTAAAAAAAAAAAAAAACTTTGATTATAACTGGCACTGGAAAAATAAGTAGTCTATATTAGTCCATAAAGTTTTTGGTCACCTCCACAGAGGGAACACAGATAAGGGATGGAAGATATAGATCAGAGAGGGGCAAAAGAGGAGAGAGGAGGTTAAGTGTCCAGGTGCAATGCCGCAATGCCAAACCTCTTTATACACAGGAAGCACTGGAGAACCCACAAAGTCTGTGATCCGTTTACTGAATTAAAGATACAAAAGTGGTATGATTTCTTGAATTATTTGCCATTACTTGCAGGCTGGTGCTTATAGTTTAACAATCATACTGCATACAGTATATTAATTTTATTTCATCTTCACAAGTTTTCGATGTTATTTTTGATGTTATGATGTGGGTTTCTTAAGTTTACAACTAGCTTGTGCTTTTTATTAATTTTATTAAGCAATTCATTTCATTTTCAGTTTCATTTTCAGGGAAGCGTGAATGGCTGAACCGGTTTCGGCTCACAGATTAACTGCTTGTTGTTTCCGGCTGAGAATGCAAGTGCTTGGACATATTTTTGATCTGCAACTGCAACATAACCGTCATTCCATCTCTGTCTACACGTCCACCCCTATTTGTCCCCATCCCATCTTACTCTACAGGTGACTGGAGGGAGCAGTTGTGTCCCCTGGTGACCAGGTTAAAAGAGTGTGTGATGGAAGTGGTGGAGAAGGCTACGAAAGCCATGACATTTGTGCTCCTGCAGGAGGCAGCCTGCAGCATCCCACAGGGTTTTCTCCTCCAACAGAGGCGAGATGTGGTCTTCAGCCAGGCAGTAGGTGGCAACACTGGCATAACAGCTCTAAAAGTCCTCCACATCAAGTTCTCTTCAGTAATATGCTTGTTGTAGTTCCTCTGAGCTACAAAATTCCTGAGTAAATATTTGATTGTATTTGCTGTCCAACTTGCAACATACTCAGTGCTGCCCTTTAAATAAAGTCCAGACTCTACCCTGTCCAAACAACTTTTTATCTATTTCTCACACATCATTAAATGTTGACATGCACTGAAATTTAAGCTGTCAGGTCAGAATACCTCTTGAAATGCATTTTTCAGTAGATATTGACAGGTGATATTTTGACAGATTGATAGATGTTTTTTTTATATGTCTGTATGCCAGCATCATGCACAAAATAGCAAGGCATTGTACAAAATAGCTTACTTCAACAAACTCAAAACAAAAACAACTACGAAAGGAGCAACAACAGTCTCCAGGATTAGAATATTATTGTTGTGGTATAAATAGAGCTGTGAGGCTGTTTGTCCTCCTCAGCATTGGTTTACAGCTCTGTCATATTCTGGTCAGCTGCTTGTGCTAAGAACAACTTACAGGATATGGCTTAAATATATATGTTTTTGTGTGTGTGTGTGCGCTTGTGTTTTTTTGTTTTCTTTTAGCTGGCAGCCTTAGCCTGTGGGTTTGTCATGAGGCTCTACACAGGAATGAAAGACAAAAGCTTCCTGAGGCAGCTCCACCTGGTTGGCCTGGTGGCCCAGTTTGAGAGCCTGCTCAGCACCTACAGTGAGTAAATCTGTAAGAGTTAAATCAGACCTGGAAACCTCAAAACTTCCACTGAATACAGATGTTCACTTGTATTTACTTTCTAATAAATCACAACATATAGCAAGGCAATGAGTTACTGCGGTGTTTGTTGTCATAATATTTTTATTACAGTTATGTTATGTCTGTACACCAGAGCTCTGTTGGCTATGTAGCTTAACCTAATGCACTGGGTACCTTATTGGACTTTTATTGGTTTTTATGGGATTCACTGGATGTGATTATTTATTGTTTATTTATGATTTTATAACCTGCCTTTATTGTTGTCTAACAGTATTTACCAGTGTGTTTGTTGTTGTTTCTCTTTTCCAAAAAGAGTTTCTCCTAAGGGAGATAATAAAACTGACCTTGCCCTTGTTGCTTTATACAACATGACCTAGGTGAATGTTAACTTCAGTGTCTTGTGAAGGTGGATTATCAGATAAATACAGAAACTAGAGACTGAAGGAAAGGAAGGCCTTTGTCAGATATGACAACTCCTATTTCAGTTCCCTGCACAACCATGATCAAAGCTGTCATTCAGTGGTTTGCCAGAGCTCATATAAAAGTTAAATGGATTGGTCAGTGAAATTAACAGCTGCATGCAGAGTGAGGAGCTTTATGTCAGTTACAAGATAAGGACAGCTACTGCCTTAACCCATTTATATGATCTATGTCTCTGCCATGTCTTCTTCAAATAATGTCAGTGATATCAAATGTGGACAGTTTCTGAATTAACTCTGACATTTTAAATGTAAGCCAAACTCACCTTGTTTTGAGTAACTAAAATGTTTTTCGCGAGCAAGAATGAAATCACTACTAAGACTATTTTATCAAACTGTTTCAGGTGAAGAGATTGGGATGCTGGAGGACATGGAGGTTGGAATCTCAGACCTGCAGAGAGTTGTGTTCAAGATCACAGAGGCCAAGACAGATGACCTCGGTGACCTCCAGCCTTTAGTGTGTGGCCAGCGGTGAGACATTGCCCCCTACTGTTAATTTTTGTGCTTTAGTGTAACATATTCGGTTTCTTTATGTCATGATGATATAGTGTATCCTAAAGGCGAAACAGCTTTTAAGCTGTTTATAGCAGCAGTTTGGTAGATTATAAGGAACAAGTACAGATAACTATCAACCAGTTCCCAACACAAGCCCCTTAATGAACATTAAAATTTCAGTGAGTCAATAAAATTGCCATCTTTTCATTTTAATGCATTGAGAAACACTTATTTTGTCCCAGAGATTCTTTATAATTGGCATATAATTTATTTAAAAGGGACTGACAATGAACTACAATTTCTTAGGAAACTTCCTAGAAAAGGGCCATGTACTGTAATTTGGTACTAAATATAGAGAGTGTTCCAACTGGCACACTTTCCATTAAGTAACAGCTAGGAATAGTTGAAGGTCTGTGGAGTGAAAGGTCAATAAAATGTTTTCAAATGATCAACGGTTCAGGCGTTCCTTGTGTTTTCTTCACGTCTGATGCACCTGTTAATAGCCCTTTAGTAGTAAATGTTACCTGCTGGTTCTCAAGTACTCCTGTGTGGACACTTATGCTATGTGTAGTACATTGTCATGATTTTCCTGGTGATTAGTACCCAGTTCCATAGTTCTTCTCAAAAACCTCCTGGCCAGCTATTAACAAATTATAGGACCTATAAAATGATTAAAGTAAGAAAAAAAAAACAACACAGACCTTTCTCCTTTTTGTCACAAGCTTTACTGTACAGTTCAGTCTAAATTTCAGCTAATGAAATTGCAGCCTGCAGATCACTTGGCACGTATCTGCATGGTGTCTTGTTTAGGATATTTATGATACACTCTCTGACAATAATTATTTTGGCTGATTTATCAGGCTCTCGGAAGACAAAGCCTTTCAGCAGTGGACTTGTTTGTTTGTGCATAAAACTTACAGCGAAACGTGGTACTGAGAGGCATTATGATATCCACTGTTTGTTCCAAAACAAAGCCCAGAATAACCTGTGAAATGGATTAATGCCATGTGATCGTGTGCCAAGCACCACAGTCAAACTCTGCAGCAGGTTAGGAAGTTGCAGCCTCATGTGAAGCCATTAATGTGTTCAGGGATTGTTTGAGTCACAACACTGGCATCATAGCAGCAGGGACTGTCTGACTCCCTACAGTAACGCAATAATTGACATGTAAGACATTTGCCACAGCAAAGTTTATTTGAACTGTTTATTGTATGTAATATACCAAGTGTTATAAAGCAATACACTGTTCTTGCCCTACCCACCTTTATGTCATCTGTCAGGCAGTCTGGCTCACACACAGTCTTTCTCTCATGCATGCCCACCATCAGTCTCTGTTTACAGCTTGCTCTGGCCTGTCTTAGGTGTCAAATTGTATATCTTTCCAAACATATCAAATTTTAAAGCATTTGCAGAGCCTATCAAATTTCTTTTAACTTATCCATTTTTACCTTCCATTTTGTTTTTCCTCCCCTTACATTCAGAGACCACTTCACTGTAGAAGTGCCATTACCACAACTGGTTTTCCAGACATTGCCAGAGGAGATCAAGGAGGGCAAGCCTCTACGAGTATTCCCTGTGCTGTTTAATGTGGGAATCAATGAACAGCAAACTATAGCAGAGAGGTACTGCAAGCACACTTTGTTCACTCTGAAGAATTTCCAGTTTGACTCACTTATAAGATAAGGGTGGTCGTCTTCTTTTTTTTTTATTGAAACAAAGTAACACATTAACAAAACAAGTCCAGACATGGGAGAAGACAACGGATAAAGTGAAGTGTGTGTATTTCCAACTTATGCAGTTTGTGAAGGGCAAGAAAGGGAGAAGGAGAGAAAGAAAAAAATATTACAACAACAACGATAATAGTACTACCAATAAAAGCAGCTTGTTACATTTCTAGAGGTTGATGGGAGTGTGCGTGGCCTCAGCCCCAGGTGTTTGGTTCAAGTTGAAATGTGTTAGAAATGGTTCCATGTGTCATTAAAAGCTGATAAACTATTCTTGTGAGTGGATGCCATTTTCTCTAATGTGATGTATTCTATCAGAAGGTTGGTCCAGTGGTTTATAAGTAGTGATTTTTTTGATTTCCAGGAGTGGGTTTTTGTATTTAATTGGTAGGTGGTCAATGCCTGTGATATTACCGAGCAAGCAAAGTGATGGAGAAGGAGGGATTCTACAGCCCAAGATGGTGGAGGGTTTCTCTGTCACTGTTATCCAGAGGGAATAAACTGGGTGGCAGGTCCAAGTAGCATGAAGACAACTGTCAGTGCAACCTAGAGTGCATCGTGAACAGATGTCTATGTTAGTGAAACCCATTTGAAACATTTTACTTTGTGATGACCAGCCTACACAAAGGCTGGTCATCTTCTATATTAATTGTATTTTCAGCAATTTCCATGCAAAGACTAAAACGGACAAGGAATTGCCTCTACTCACTGCTAAAATCTGTCAGCTGTCAGTCCTGGATTAGCTTGTCCATCTGTGCGATGGACCTCCATTTTTGTTCAAAAACAATTAAAAACACATCGCTGTACTGGGTGATATGTTTTTTCATTATGAAAAGGCTGCCTGTGTTGCCCCAGTCAGTCAACTACACACAAACGAGATGTTGTGCAAGACCTCTGCTTTGTTTATATTCTTCTAACTCCTCATGCTCAGGTCTGGTGGCAGTGGCATACTCACACTCCCTGACTAGTGAAGAATTGTTAATATGTAACTCTATTGCATATATTTACTTATGTTAAATAGCACAAAATGCATTGGGTTTTATCAAAAAAGCAAATATAATCTGACTGAACATTCTCTTGTAAAATCTGTTTTTTTTCCGCCCTGAATGAAGCATTTACTGATCTGTATTACTGATTGCTTGATAAACTGTTAAAGAGTTTTGGTGAATGTCTTGATGCTCCACCTAACTCTCCTTATTTTCCTCCCAGATTTGGTGATATCTCCTTACAAGAAAGAATAAATCAGAAGAACTTTGAGATGCTAGAAGCCTATTACAAATCATTAAGTGAAAAGGTGCCACTAGAATGTAAGTGCACAAACATTTTCATTTTTTTCCATTTGTTGTAAATATTGGGACTTTTGTTCAAGGTCTGGTGTTGCTGTGGCAGGTGACTCGTGTATGCACCGAACATCAGATTGGAGCTTCATCCAGTCCAGAGCCTGTCCTCATAAACTTGTATTTCTACCAAAGCTAAACAGGAAACATGCCCGGTCATTGCTGATGTGTTCCATGTTTTCTACAAACAGGTCTACCATGTTTCCAGACACAGGGTGACATAAAGGAATTACTTGAGTCCCTGGGCCAGAACGTAGTCACAAAGAAGAGAAAGAATGTGGAGATACTATGGATTGCTGGAACGGTGAGCAGTGCTCTTAGCATACCCATTTGTCAAGGAAGACAGCTTTCTTTCAACCATACACATAAACCTTCTCTCTTGCATAACCAAAGTAACTGGAATCTGTAAATACATTTGACATATTAATATTTCATGGCCTTTAATGGAAGCACTGAACTGAACAGAAAGGAACTGCCTGAGCATGATGGATTGATTTCAGAAAATGATACTACATAGACCTTTTACCTGACTCTGTGTCTGACAATTTATTGTTATAAATGTTCCTGCAGTGCACTTTATTCACAGCAAGAAATTGTTATAACAAGACAAAGAGTCCATAGCCATGCTAGCTGCTTGATCTATGAAGCTGTACTTAAGCACAGCAGTGCTTTCAGTTAAATGATAAAGTTGGCATGCTAACATGCTCACAGTGCTAATGCCACATGTAGATACCGAGCTGGTATTATTTTATCATGTTCAAAATTAAATTTAAGATATTAGCTGCTTACATTTGCTAAGTAGCTGTTGTAGCAGTACACACAAAGTCCTGCTTGGGCAGGTCATTGGTTTTGCATGTATTATAACAAGTTAAAAATGCATTTTTATTTAGATAGTAAACAAAAAAATGCCCCTATCATGCTACTTTCAGGATAAATTGTAATCATGACAATCCACTAGTTTTGTACCAATTTAAGTACCTCTGTAGTTTAGGTGGAAATGCAGTTCACTCCAAATAGTTTTACAGAATAAAAAAAGAATTGTTTGCATTGATGCACATAAGTAATTTTCTCTGCACTTCCCTCCAGATCTGTCGAAGGTTAAATGGCATCAGGTTCACCAGCTGTAAAAGTGCCAAAGACCGGACATCCATGTCTGTCACATTAGAGCAGTGTGCCCTCCTGCGTGACGAACACCAGCTCAGCAAAGATTTCTTCATCCGTGCTCTGGACTGTATGCGGAGGTAAGACAGAACTAAAAGACAGTATGCAACTGTTATGGGTGCAAGTTATTGTTCCAGCCAATCCCGGTCAGGCTCAATTTAAAGTTCAGTTCAGTCACATTACAGACAAACTTAAAAATTGTGCAGATAGTTTTGTTTGTCAAGGCTCAGGAGCTACTTTTGTTTATGCCAGTAATGTTTGTTTGAAAGAATAATCTTAACTCAGTGTCTACTCACTAGTTTTTCTAGACCTTTTAGTTGCATGTCACAGTCTTTGTCAGCAGTCAAGGTTTAATCAGGTGAAGGTGGATGACTGATTTTCCATGTGATGACATCATCTTGGTTACCACATGATGACAGCCTTTTCTGACAACTGAGCAAACCCTAATCCCTGGTGATGATAGTGAAAGCTCTGTAGATGAACGCTCTAGAAAAGCTAATGAATGGACCTTGACAAAAGACAACTTTGGCAAAATAAACAGATCATTAATCAGTGTCTCAGTTGTTCTGGATAATCTACAGATTGCACTGTGAACTGTTTTGACTGCTTTCTACAGAACAGATAGTTCATATAAAAACACATGTTGAGTAGGTAGAGTAACCAGGATTTAGTTTTTGATGTTGGATTCAATTTTGTGTGTCTCAAAACCTCAGCACATTGAACCAAATTTATCTGCATGACTAAGTGCAAATAGGAATAAGAAATGTTATTAAGGAACTGAGCCTTCACCAGATATTTATAAATATTAGCAGTACATGAGTTCTGTAAGATTTAAAAGCAGTCCATACAGACATCTGGTTAGAGCAATAACCTGCATCCGCAACATGTGACTCTGAGCAAAATCTGACACTGTCCATTGCACACAAAGACATTCTGTGTAGACCTTTCTGTCCCAGGTTGTCACTATCTGCTGTGCTAGCAGAAACATCCTGTGTTCCCTTCACCATTTCCACCTTCCCACACACATTGAAAAGCAACCATGCATGGTTCTATGAGTGCTGCAGGAACACTGCTGCCTTTAATCTCTGTGTTTGCCAGTAGAGTAAACATCCATATCAGCATCTGTCTAAATATGATAAGGCCCATTTTCCCAACATAAAAACCTAATAAAGACCATCTACGAAGTATAAACATCCAAAATGCCTGTGGTAATGACATGAGGTCTGTCTGATGGCAGCTGCAGTAGATGAGGACAGAACAAGGTGTGACTCAAAAAAAGCAAATACATAAAGCAAATACTCCAACTCCCAACTGATTTAACAGACATGTTCGGCGCGATGCGGCCAAAAAGTGTTAGGTGAACTCATTAAATGGCCAGACGAGGAAGTGATGAACAAAACCCCTCTCTTTATTAAGAGCACTAACGAGCAAAAAACCAGGACAAGACACGGTGTACAAAAAAAACACACTTACGGGTTGGTCTAACAGTCCGAGATCAGAGCCAGCAAACACATACAGCGAAGGTAATCCAAAATAGTAGTCCGAAGGGAAGTCCGATAATCATACACCGTGGCAGTCCATAACAAGAGGGCGAGGCAGAATAGAATAGTCCAAGGTAACAGTCCGGGATCAGAAACACAAAATACCAAAACCGAAGAAAATGCTGGAAAGTCAGAGCTGGGGTCTAGAACAATCTGGCAGCGTCCTTGTGGGAGGACGCTGCCTAAATAGAGGTGTAAACAATAAGGAGCAGGTGAAACTAATGCGAGTGATGAAGAACGTAAAAAGACCAAAACTAAGGTGAAAACAAAAACAGGAAGCAACATCAAAATAAAAGCCGGACGGGAAACAGCGGAACCGAATCATGACAGCATGGGGATATGTACATACACATTGAGAGCCGATGTACCAGAGTCAAATTCCTCGTGTGTCCGACACACCTGGCAAATAAAGCTGATTCTGATTTTGATTCTGTAGCAGAGTGGAACAACAATAGTTAACTGTCTTACTGCAGGTGCCACATTCAAACTGAATACAGTGTTTGTTTAACAAATATTGTGAAAGTATGTGGAATCTTTACTGAATCAGTGATGAGTAGCTAGGAAAAAACTACATTAAAAGGACATGATTATGTGTAGTGACATCCCACAGGCAAAATGAATTGGTCCTATTTAACTGTTTGACTTGTCTTCCTCTCTGACACAAGTGCACCAATCAGTACCTTTTGTTTAGAATTGTGAATCTTTTAGAATAAGATTAAATATTTATAACACTGCAAACATTTTAATTTGCTTCAAGAATTAACAAATTAAGAGAGTCAAATTAAATGTCTGTACCTGATTAAATATTTATAACACTGCAAACATTTTAATTTGCTTCAAGAATTAACAAATTAAGAGAGTCAAATTAAATGTCTGTACCTGATTAGGCTTACCCTCCTTGAACCGCCACCTTATTGTGGTGGAGGGGTTTGAGTACCCGAGTGATCCTAGGAGCTATGTTGTTGGGCGCTATATGTCCCTGGTAGGGTCTCCCAAGGCAAACAGGTCCTGGGTGACGGGTCAGACTAAGAGCAGTTCAAAAGCCCTTTATGAATAGATTAAAATCAAGGACCGTGACGTCGCCCGGCATGGCGCAGCCAGGGCCC